CTTCAATAACGTTTGGGGGCAACATGTAAGATGGACGCCCAAGGGTCGCCTCCTCTGTTTCCGAGAGGATTTCAAGTTGGCGGGCAACCTCTTGAAGACTCTCAAACACAGCTGGGTTAACATCCACATGACCACATCCATGTCGAGCTGAGCCAAGTCCTCTATACATCGTTCCACACGAAACTGGACATAGTCTTTTGGTTCTCCGTTCTCTAAATGGCCCGTAAATTATCTCCAATGGCTCTTAAACCAATATCCATAAATAAACCTTACAACTGTGGATACACCATGGATGTATAAAGATAAGGGCTAAACAGTAAAGCTCCTGCATTTGAATCAGCGCGGTTAGCCAGGCGTTAGTAGTAGAGCCCTCTGCCAGAAATGATCACACACTCCTGTAACCAATCCTGCTTCAGACTGAGGTTAGGACCGCCCACCTCATTAGCATACGGATACATAAATACATAAATAAATAAATGTATGTCGCGTAAATGTAGAAATATATGAAAGATATATAATAACGTGTGTTCTGTTTTATTTTCGACTTTTACTTATTTATTTATACATTGGTGTATTTATTTCCATATTTATTTATGCATTTATTTATTTTTATTTATTTGTGTATTTATTTCAACATTTATTTATTTCTGTATTTACTTATTCCTGTATTTCTTCATACATTTATTTACACATATATTTATTTATTTATTTATACTTATGTCATGTTCCGTCCTCCATAGAACCCTTCCACTCTCGGCTCAGTAGAATGAATGGAGACAGAAAATAAATCTAGATTCGGCTTTTAGTGCATTTTACAACTTTAAGGACCGAATGATTCTAATAAGGGCTATAAAATAGTTCATACTGGGTAGTTTATTTAGTTTAAAAAAAAGTATCCGCTGATTTACAGACGTCTCTTTCCCAATGTTAGTCAATGGAAAGAGAAGGGTCTAGCTGCGGCCGCGGCCAGTACACGACACTACACGACACGCCCACTACACGACACGCCCACCTGACACGACACTACGGTGGCTGAGAGACATTACCATACATGGCAGATTAAAAGCGAATTGACGACACTGACGCTGATGCAAGGATATTTAAAGAGACGAGGTTCAGAGAACAGACAAACAATATGGCGCACCGAGTACAGGTAATTAACGTATTGTGGTTTTAGATATAATTACATACTATTTAGGTTCTCGTTTGTTTGTCGATGTGGCTGTTTAGCGCAGTGTAATTGTGTTTATTTAGCTAATTTGTATTTTAAATATTAAATGTAAAGGAATGGAATACATATAAATATATATATATATATATCTTAGCTCTTAGCTTGACATGCTCGACGTTCAGTTAGCATATATGCTAACTGAACATGCTCGTTCAGTTAGCATGTCAAGCTAAGAGCTAAGATATATGTATATATTTTAGCTTGACAGATGGAACAATGCATGTACTCGCATTTTTACAAGAATCTGATTTTAAATATTCATTGAAGGTGTCTTTCACATTTGAATGTTTTAAAAAAAAAACATGTATTAGCTGCTATACTGACATGCACATATGTATAATTATATTATTATTTTAAGTGTGGTTTAAAGTTAAATGATATATAGTTATTGGGTAGAGCCAAGTAACCCAGGTGGATGCAATCAGGCCTCTGTTTTTAGATGGGGTTTGTGGCCATGCTGTAGGCCTGACATTTAAACCATAGACCGTATATATAAAGATTTAAACTAGCTGAAGGGCTTTCTGTTCGAACCACAGTGACATCTAGAGGTTGTTTTGTGCATAACATGTCAACCAAAAAAGTAGAGCTGGCTGAATCAGATGGAGTTAAACTTTTTTTTTTTTCAACAAGATATCAAGACACAAAATGTGCTCTACCAAATGGTGGCGCTGGCAGTTAAAGGGTTACCTTCTGAAAGTGAGGAAGTATGACCAGCTTTGTCCCATAGGATTATACAGGCCAGTCCATTGCTGCTTGTTTAAGGAGTTAACTATTTCCAATATTAAAGTCACTGAAATTGTATTCTATTTTATTCACCTATAGACAAACAACACAACACTCCGTGATGGAGCACGCCCAGAGCTCAACAAATTGGACTCGGACACAATGAAACACTGGCTTGCTTGTATCAAATCAATACAATTCCCACATGCCCTACCCCGGAACCTGCGGTCTTCAGACTCTGGCCCCCCGCACCAACCTGCGATCCTTCGGGGACAGAGCCTTCAGTATGGCAGCCCCCACTCTCTGGAACGCTCTCCGTGCGGAGATCTGCAACATCCCCACGCTTGACGCCTTCAAAAGGGCCCTCAAGTCTGCCAAGGTCTTTGGCCCCAAATCTATTTGTGTTGTCTGTCTAACTGTTCGTCTAACTGCCTTTTGTTATGTTTGTTTCTACTCCTGTTCTTTTTAAAGCGACCTTGGGTCTCATGAAAGGCGCTATATAAATCCAAGTTATTATTAATACATCATTGGAACGGTAAGAATCTCAGCTACAACACTGACTAAAGCCTTCCCATCTCCAGTATGCCTACATGACAAGCATTTTTATAATATACAGTAAACATATCTTTGACTTATTAGAGAAGAGACAATCATCAAGCCAGATACCAAGGTATTTACAACAGGCAACCACTTCAATTACTTTTCCTTTATGTTATTGTTATTTGGTTTTTATTAGTGCTTTTGTCGTTTTGAAGGAAATTAAAATACTGTATTGAGTTGGTTTCTTCTGTTTTGGAAGCCTTGTATATCTTTTTGGTCTTGTTAGAAATACCCCATGGTAAAACAGTGTTCTAGCAGCAGTTAAAGAAGCTTAGTTTGCTGTCTTAGACTGCCAGTTGTATTAAGATGGTTTGTTCACAATTTACACATAAAACCTAAATGTTCATCTGTTTATTGTTCTTCTTCCTTTATATTCAAAGCATGTTGATTGTCTATTGGCTATATCTTGACATTATGTTAATTTGATCATACTTGCCATACATTTATTTTAATTTATGCGATTCCTTCAAAGGTTTTGTAATAGACCCCTAGTACTTTTAATTTATAAAGTAATAATAATACATGTGAATGATTGAGCTCATTAGTGGCCTGACTGGCCCTCCTAATTTGTTCCTTAATGACCCCATGATGTGATAATGTATATCTTAAAACCTTTAACAACTATATTTAGATGTTCACAAATATCTACATTTATGTATAAAATACATGTGTAGCAGTTAGACAAACATAATCAATAGATCATCTCATTAATACCTATTTTATATATTAAAAAAAAGTTGACTAAACCACCGTTTGTTGACAAAATGATTTGGGTTGAAAGTTATACTGTTGTGTCTCAAACGGATAGACTAGGTTATTAATTTATTTGCCTAATAGTTGCTTAAAATGCTACAATAACATTTGCAATTCGTTTTTAATCTGCCATGTACGATCTCAATAATAATAAGTGTTGTCAATTCGCTTTTAATCTGCCATGTACGGTAATGTCTCTCAGCCACCGTAGTGTCGTGTCAGGTGGGCGTGTCGTGTAGTGGGCGTGTCGTGTAGTGTCGTGTACTGTCCGTGGCCGCAGCTAGACCATATTGAATGGAAAAGGAAAAGTCTTTCTGGGCCCAGCGACTGATACGGAAGTGTAGTACTGCCGTTTGGCCACAACGAATATTTTCCTCAGAGTCCGGCGCACTTCCTGGGGGCTTGTACACGACACTACACGACACGCCCCCTACACGACACGCCCACCTGACACGACACTACGGTGGCTGAGAGACATTACCGTACATGGCAGATTAAAAACGAATTGCAAATGTTATTGTAGCATTTTAAGCAACTATTAGGCAAATAAATTAATAACCTAGTCTATCCGTTTGAGACACAACAGTATAACTTTAAACCCAAATCATTTTGTCAACAAACGGTGGTTTAGTAAACTTTTTTTAATATATAAAATAGGTATTAATGAGATAATCTATTAATTATGTTTGTCTAACTGCTACACATGTATTTATACATAAATGTAGATATTTGTGAACATCTAAATATAGTTGTTAAAGGTTTTAAGATATACATAATCACATCATGGGGTCATTAAGGACCAAATTAGGAGGGCCAGTCAGGCCACTAATGAGCTCAATCATTCACATGTATTATTATTACTTTATAAATTAAAAGTACTAGGGGTCTATTACATAACCTTTGAAGGAATCGTCATGCATTCTGAATGTTTCTGTACTTTAAAAACATCATGGCTCAAGATCCTGTTCTTGTTCAAGATTATTCATACTCATTTGTGAATTTAACATCCATATTCACTCAAAACTGAAACAACACCAACATTTTTTTTGAAAGCATTGCAGGCCTAAAGCTCCACGTCAGTGACCTATATTTTAATTTCTTCCATCAAACGTTAAAAATGGCAAACAGCATGTTTTTAAAGATTTAATCTTTTAAGAAACAAAATATCAAATTTGAACAGAAGGGTTTAAAAACACGTTTTTAATGCAAATAAACTTGAAACATAAACCTATTTGTCATTTCAAAATGCACTTGTATTGTCTGCGTGAAAGGCACAGTAGGCTATGAGCGAATACATATCAACATTAAAAAAATGACAAAGTCGTACAATATATACCATGTGCTACTGTCTAGGATTAAGTATGATGAGACTTTTTTTAAGGAGGGACCCCAGAGCCAAGGGCAGGCCGAGCAGACCGCCTTCTCCCGCCGCAGGCTTCCCCGGTGATGGGCTCCGTGTAACAAGTCCCCTCAGTCTGTGCGGGGAGCTGCACCACGGTGATGCTGCTGTCGCTCGCCTCTCCTCCGGTGGTGCCCTCGGCTCCCTCCGCCGCCACACTGCCCAGCACACTGGAGAGATCACTAAACCGGCAATTGTCTCTCAGCCACCGTAGTGTCGTGTCAGGTGGGCGTGTCGTGTAGGGGGCGTGTCGTGTAGTGTCGTGTACTTGCCTGCGGCGGCCGCAGCTACCAGCTAGACCATATTGAGCTACCCGGGCGGTAAGGTCGGAGAAGCGGACATGCTTGTCAACATATCACTGATACTTGTGAAGTTTGACTGTAAATACCGTGTTTAAAGAAAATATCGCTGGTTAGTGCAGACGCTCTCAGCATGGTGTTAATATGTAGATGATGTCTGAAGCTGCTCTAGAGGAAGTCTCCGTGCTGTCCTCCATCTACTGCGGGGAGGGAGAGCTCACAGTCCGGCAGCAGGATGGTGAGAGCAGTCTGGCACTGGAGACACCTCCAGCCTCTGAAAACACACACTGAGCAGGTCAACACACACCATGAGGCCTGGGGAGAGGGGGCGGGGAAGTACTCAGATGTTATACTCTGAAGTACACGAGTGTAGGAATACTCTGTTACAAGTTCTGAATTCAAAATGTTAATCAAGTAAAAGTAGAAAAGTATTATCATCAAAATATAGTTAAAGTACCAAAAGTAAAAGTAGTGATTGTGCAGATTGGTCCTTTTCAGAATAATATATATGATATGTTTTATAATGATTGATCATTAAAGTGTTCTCAAAGCTGGTAAAGGTGCAGCTAGTTTGAATGACTTTGTATATGCAGGGTAGCTTGTGAATTTACTCCAGGTGGAACTAAAGTCTGATTTAACACTTGATTATATTTCACATCGTTAATCCACATCTGTAAAGTAACTAAAGGTATTAAATACATGTGGTGGAGTAAAAGTACACCATTTACCTCTGAACTGTAGTGGGGTAGAAGAACAAAATAGCTAAAAGGAAATAATTAAGTAAAGTACAATTACCTCAAAATTGTAATTAAGAACAGCGCTTGATTAAATGTACTTAGTTACTTAACACCACTGGCATCAAGAGACAGGAACATTTAGTTAAAGTTTCCAAGAACTTCTATATAAACACTTGTAAATAGGCCATATGGTAATAATGATTCAAATAAAGTTGTTTTCTGTTCATAAACTTCTTTAATACGTTTAATAGTGAAAGAGTACCAAAGACCGTTTCAGTCGGTTTTATCTGCATTATTCTTTACTTATTTTTTCTTGTCTCTCTATTGCACATTTTTTGAACATTCAGAATTATAGTGGGAACAAATAGTGGGAACAAATATAAATGTCAATCAAATGAAACAGGAAAAGGAAATAGATAAATATATATATTTTAATATATAAATAAACAATAACATCTAAAAAATCAATCCAGTTTATCAGGGGCTACATGTACACATTAATTAAAATATAATATTGTACTTTTTTTTTGTTTGTCATTAGAGTTGTCATTATTTGTATCGATTTTACGATAGGATACGATAATACTTTATTTTCAGATCGAGTCTGGCATTTTTCCATCATCACAGCAACTCAATTTGCAACATCAACAAGGACAAATAATTAAGACATGGGAGAAGGAAACAGACATTTAACATCGCATCACCATCACTGAAGATCAGGGATTTAAATCTGAATTTATTTTTTCGGAAGGACTTGGAACATCTAGAATATGTTTGTGTAATTTGCCAACTTCAAGTATAAGATTTGTCATGTTATTTTTAAGGTTTATTGTTTATCACCTTCTACATTATTGTTACAGCTGAGATATGGGGTTTGACCCTTCAAAGATAAAATTCAAAGCGGTCTGATATTATATCCTCAGAATTAAAACCCTCACACATAGCATCTGTTGGTGCTGTAGCAGTGCTTGAACACGTCTCTGATTGGCTCCCAGCTCAGGATGGACTCATGGTGCAGATCAACAGCAGCGTTGGAGGAGAAAGGGGGCTGGACGTGAGTCTGTTGTTACACCTGCACCCCCCCTACCCTCTGTGCCCCCCTGCAATCTCGGTCTCCTCCAGCAGTCTCTCCAGGACTCAGTGTCAGGACATCAGACAGAAGCTGCTGGGTCAGGCTGCAGCTCTGCCTCCAGAGCCCATGGTGCACCGGCTGGTGGAGCGGCTGCAGGTAAACACACTTCCTGTCTAATGAGCAACACTATCACATTAGAGGTCTCCTAATATACTATTTTTAGGCATATATTTTAGGTCTCAGATATATAGAAATATGTAAAAAACATTTCTATGAAGTGTTTTGCTCAAAATACCAAACAGATCACCCATTCTAGCCATGCCTCATACCCCTCTATTTCAGGCCTGTTACTAAAGTGCTGATTCTTGGTCCGTAGCTTTGAAAACAAATTGAATAAATATTCAAGGAGGGGGGGAGCTAATGCAGGAGAATTCTACCGAGTTGAAGCATTTAGCTGAGTTTTAGCTGAGCAGAAACTCAGCTAAATGCTGCCCTGATTAAACGGCATATCATGTTCCAAACCACATCAAGGATTATTTCTGAAACAGCTCAAAGGCTTTCTCTCTCGCGGGTTTACTACAAGGTGAGTTTCTTTTTTAATTCCTGCTTCTTTACACATACTCTCTCCAGTACAGGTTAGCTCTGAGTGTTAGCGATGCTTGCTAATGTAAACAAAGACGATATTACGTCCAAAACAGTCGGGCATTGTTTCTGATAGCAACGTTTCTGATAGGGCCGTGGGCGTAAAGCCAGCCCAAATTTCAGATATTACGTCATATCGGCAGCAAATCCGTTGTACCCCCGTTTTTGTGGGTTACCTTACACACCGGGCACACATGTTTATGTATAAAAGATGTCAAAAAGTGCATTTTGCATGATAGGAGACCTTTGAAAGAAAACTAATTTCATTATGATTGGATCTGTGTTGGAATCAGGAGTGTGTGGAGGTGACAGAGATGTGTGAGGAGGTGAAAGAGGAAGAAGAGGAGGAGGAGTGGACGGCGGTGCTGTCGTTGGACCACATCCGCTCCCGGAGCCGGTACGTGGGGCAGCTGCAGCGCTGGAGCCTGCAGCTGCAGCTCACTGGGAGGCTGTTACTGGGACGCTGCATACTGATGATCCTGCTGGGAGCCAGGCCGAGCATCAAGGTACGCCAGCAGACATGATGACATGCATCTTAACATATACAGCAGGTTCACTAATACAACACAGTGAATACCCTGAGGTATAGGCTATAGATTAGGATATGTTGCTCTAATTACATGTCTTCTTTAAGACTACTGGAAAGAAGGAAGAAAAAGTAAATATATCAATCAATCAATCAATCAATGTTTATTTATATAGCCCAATATCACAAATGTTACATTTACAAACATTCGGGGCTTAGCCCACAGTTCATTAAGGTACATTAAGGTACCGGGCGCTACAGTGGAAATTTCTACTACAACACTCCCCACACGCACATACACAGTACACCTGTGACTGTTACAAAGAAGGCTCGATAATCAGCTCACGGCATATAGGTGTAAGCAGGGGTAAAGTGCTATTTTTTATAAGTGAGGGGCGGACCTAACCTCCTCTAGGGGGGGTCCTTACCTCCTATAGGGGGGTCCTCACCTCCTCTAGGGGGGTCCGGGGGCATGCTCCCCCGGGAAGATTTTTTTTTAAATATTGAAGTTAAAAGCATCAATCTGGTGCACTTTGAGAGCAACATTAAGAGATCTATGGATACATCTTTCAACAGATTTTCTTTTTCTTTATGGATATTTTACAAATCACTCCCCTCTGACTGTGTAATGTAAGGTAGCTTCTAGCTTCATGTCGAACACTGACAGTAAGTCAACATTTTCCAGAGGAGTTTTTGAAATCACCAGGTAACGCTAAAAAACATAACATTTATATTGTATGACAAAGTGTTAATTTAAAGGGGACCTATCATGCAAAATGCACTTTTGTAGGTCTTTTATACATGAATATGTGTCCCCGGTGTTCCAGGGAACTCACCAAGTGTCAGAAAACACAACCCTCTCTATTTTCCTCCATACCCAAATCTCTAAAAAAGGGGCTGCAACGGATCTGATAAAAACTGATCCAGATTTGAACACTGTCCTGACGTCAGGACGGTGGCGCTACGGCTATTGGGCCAACTCCACCAATCAGGAGGAGACAGCCACGGCCATTGCTGTTCGAAAGCGCTGGAGACGCTGTAGTACATATGCCAGGCCTGTAAGTGGCGCTGTAGTCTGCCACAAAAGCAGCGAAGAAGACTTCCCGTCCATAGTTACCATGATTACCCTTCTGTTTATTCTCCGCTGTGGCTTTTTTTCTCCCTCCCCGAGGCAAGCGTTTGCTCCCGCTGCTTTAATTCAATGCAATCCCTCCCCGTCGAGGCAAGCACTGTAATTCTCTCCGGTTAGTCCACCAGCAGATGACAAACACCCACCTCTCCGCCTCTTCCAAGGAACGAGGGGACCGTGCGGCAGAGTTTCAGTTTGTTTCGCCGGTCAAGATGTCCGTTAAAGTTTAAATCTTCCGGACAAAATTAGAAAAGTGCCGGTCAAAGGTCTTCTTTGTTATTTATTGAGCTTTAAAACAAATGAATAACGACTCTATATAATAAAACACGGAGGACGGAGATCTCTTTTTCTCCCCCTCTTCTGACAGCCCAGCTGCTGATCAGAGCACGGCTCCCCTCTCCTGCAGGGGGGCGTGGTCAGCAGAATCAGACCCGTAGACAGCAAACGGCACATAGAGCAAAATGAGGCATGGCTAAAATGCATGATCTGTTTGGTATTTTGAAAACAGAAAAGTATAAATATACCTTGTATAGGTATGGCCCTACAATATATCATTTAAATATAGCATGATAGGTCCACTTTAATATCTCTGGCTAGCTATAGCTACTTGCTAACGGTTTAGCTTACCCGCGCGATTCAAAGTAACGTCAACAACGTAGCTGTAATTTATGCTTTGCTTACATGTTCGCATAACTTGGAAGTTTACTGACATTTACATACCTTGTTTACCTGGCGCAAGTGGTGGCTCTGGGGTTGTTGTGTGAGCCATCACTTGAGAATTGGTTGAGGGAAAGGGGTAGCAAGTAAGAAGTAAGGAACAGAGGTGGAGAGGCACAACGTGTCTACGTACATGCACTCCCTTAGGATAGGGTGAGGGAAAAGAGTAGGAACTAAGATGTATGTGCCACATCTATACCATGAGCGCATTGCTCCTAAAAAGTTTTTTTGGCACTGACACCAATCAACAGTTGTGCGTCGACTCGGCAGGGATCAAGGCACATATATGCCTCTCCCTGCTTCCACCGTCTACACACACAACCAAATGACATACCATCAGTGAGGAAAAAGAGTAAGAACCAAGATGTATGGGTGAAGAGGCACAACGTGTCTACGTCAATGCACTCTTATTCGATTCTTTTATCAACTATAAGCTTTATCAAAAAGAAAAAGAAGGTCTTAAGCATACTCTTAAAAACGGATAGGCTGTCTGCCGCCCGAACACAAACTGGAAGCTGATTCCACCAAAGTGGAGCTTGATAAGAAAAGGCTCTGGCTCCCATTGTACTTTTAGAGACTCTAGGAACAACCAACAACCGTGCATTCTTGGAACGCAATGCCCTAGTTGGACAGTAGGGTATAATGAGTTCTTTAACCTGTTAAGCACCGCCCCCCCGATACCGGGGGGAAAAACGCGTCATCTGAGGAAGCAGTGTCTTAGGGCATCTTAATATTTAATATGCTATGAATGTTTTATATCCATGTAACGGGAAAAAACTCATCTAACTGATCATTTTTTTTTTTTTTTCAAAATAAAACCCACAATGCTAACGCTGAGCCTCTGAATTAGCAACGAGCGAAAAATGCTAACAGATTACTGCACCAAAATTCACTCACAAAACCTTATTTATCTTTTCTGCACATCCAACACATCGTTTCACATCGTGAGATGACACAGAATCGAAGGGTACATACATTATCACTCAATGATTCGAACTCGCGACTTTATAAACAAAAACAGACATCAAAACATGTGGCGCTAGGTAGCTAAAAACGCTAACATGGCTTACCTGTGTCCTAGTCTGGTCAAAAGTAAGTAAGTAAGTAAGTAAAACTTTATTTATATAGCACCCTTCTCAACACGGATGTACAAAGTGCTTTACAGTACAGTACACAGGACACAATTCAAAGTACAACTATAAAATGTAGAATAAAAGGCATAAAACAGCAGCATGTAATCCATAGGATAAAACATACGATAAAACACCAATAAAAGACAGCTACTAACTCACCTCCTCCGACGACCCAAAGGCCTGTCGGAAAAGGTGGGTCTTTTAACTGCCCCTTAAAAATCTCTACTGAGGCAGAGGCTCTTATGGCGCATTTCCACCATGGCGCGGAGCGCGGTTTAAGTGTGCCGTGTCGTGCCGTGCCCGTTTTTGGTTGCGCTTCCACTAGGCCTAGTTACGGCCCGGCCCGGCCCGGGGCCACTTTTTCACCTCTTTTCTGGCCCGACAAAATTGTGGTTCTATCGGGGCCAACAAACAGGGCTGAGTCGGGCTGAGTATGCTAAACTAGAGAGAGGATCGCTGGCAAGGGGGCTACAACTACAACAAGATGGACATATTTGACCGTGATTTAATTGTAATACACGTTTCAAAATGATGCCGAAGTAACAACATACTGATACCGGTTAGTAAAAACCATGAATTAATGCTTTGGCAAGTTTGCAGACAGACGGCAGGCGAAAAACCTTTTAAAATGCGTGTTTTCTAGATGGAGATTGGCTAAGCTAACGCAGTATATGCTCCGACCGTCCACACTCACAACAACGGCCTATACAGACATAAATAAAGCAGCGACTGTATTCACCATGACACAGGCAGTCTGTGGTGTGTACTTGTTTAACTTTTGTCGAGTTTCTGAACATATATAAGGAGCTGTGAGCTCTGAGTGCTAACAGCTAACGGCTGTGTTGTTTTTCTGGGGTTCTCATTGAAGATGACGTCACAGCTCCGCCTACACTGCGTTACTATAGTAACTACCCCAGTTCCTAAACTGTAATGGAAGCGCAGCATGAAGTGAGCCGGCCCTGTTAAGGCCCAACGCGGCCAAGCAGTACCGAGCGTGGCCGAGGCCGACCGTGTGGTGGAAATGCGCCATTAGTGTCTGGGGGAGTTTGTTCCAAAGCCTTGGGGCCACCACCTCAAAGGCACAGTCCCCCTTAGTTTTTAGCCTGGTTCGGGGCACCCTTAGGAGACCTTGCTCAGTGGTCTTCAATGGCATTAAAACGATAAAAACGCTGCTGAAGTTAATCCAATGTGTCTGTGTCCCTTTGAAATGATTTCTGATAATCCAAAAGCAATAAACCTGCTTTTCCGTTTCCAGATGTCAGAGCTAGAGTATAGGTTCACTCTGATGCAAAACTGCATGCGCGAAGCCCCCACCTTTTTGTTTTACAATGTGTGTGAGCGGGGAGATTACCCTTCGATTCTATTGGCTCTAACGGTCAGAAAGAGATTTCATTCGTCAAAATCGACAAAGGGGGGCCAGAGATATGGAAAAAACCCCATTTCCACCCAAATCACCTCAGAGGTGGAGTTTGTTTTGCTAAACCTCCCTAAAAAGGTCAAATGTCACTTGTTTTGCATCAATCTTGATACAGGGTACTTATTATATGTTGTACTTTGGATTCCTAAAGCTTTTAGTCTACCTTACCATCATCCAAGGGTAGTTTTCACTATAAGTAAAAAATAATTTTTGGACGGACACTATAATTTACAGTTTTTTACTATGTAAAATCTGAATTTTCTTTAAAATAAAAAACATCTATATTGATTCTGACTTTTCTACATCCAACTCACAGGTTTATCATTACTTTGAGAAAAAAGATTATTAATTTAACCCTTTTAGAAGGGAAGATATGGTCATTTGTTCTGGGAATGTCATTTTCGAGCCTGAGACCTGAAAAACAGGCTCAGGGGTTAACAGGTTAAGATAGGTTGAGGGAAAGGGGTAGCAAGTAAGAAGTAAGGAACAGAGGTGGAGAGGCACAACATGTCTACGTACATGCACTCCCTTAGGATAGGTTGAAGGGGACCTATCATGCAAAATGCACTTTGTGATGTCTTTTA